AAGGCCCCCCATTCTGGTTCATTGAACGGTCCCTTCTTTCTGGGTTGTGAGACCGGGAGAGCAGAAAGTCCAGACCTCCCTTCTCTAGACTACTCACTATTGCCCAGTCCCCTCTTGTGTCCTCTCTAAGGCAAACGATCCCAATATTTTCAATCATGTTTCTGGGAAAGTCTTTTCAGGCCCTGATCATTCTCATTCCTCTTCCCCGCACCTCCTCGAATGCTGCAGTGTCCTGCCTGAGGGATGGCCAGTGTGGTGCAGCGGGATCCAGGTGGTGGCTCCAAACTCCTGGGATCCCGAGGGAAGCCCCAGAGGCCTTACACCGTCCAGCCAGGCTGTATTTTTGTAAGGGGAAGTATTAGTGGATCTGGCCTCACTGTGTCTGGCATCCCAGAGCAGGGCAGGTGCAGAGGCCACAGTGAAACTGGAAAGGAACCGGGGGGAGGGTTGAGGTAGGGGGGGTAGTTTAACTGAACTTTTGTGAACCCCACCCAAAAGGTCGATGAAAGTTCAGGGCCACTTATTGGGCTGGTTGGTGGGTGCGCTGGGGCTGCCCTTCGCCCTTCATGCCGCCGCAGGACTTCACTGGGGAAGGGCAGCCCCACAGCGCTCCCCCAGCAGCGGGCAGCACCCCCCTGAGCCCGAGGCCGTGCTCAGCCGGCCAGCCCGTCCCTCTTGGCTCTCAGGACTCTCGATGCCGCTGCAGCTCAGACAGTGAAACTTGAGCTCGTTGGACACGGTGCATTTCCAGAGCGAAAGGAGCTCTGGGAAAGGGCCAGGGAAAGGAGCTGATGTGCAGGGCCTGGCGGAGACCGGCGCCAGCTTTCCATGCCGCAGGGATAAAGTGCTAGAACGAAAGCGGGGAAGGGGGGGTCTGAATCAGCCCGTCACTGAGAGAGCCATCTAGGCAGGCAGGGGGCCGGAGCTCGTTACTGTGTAACGATGCCCGTTAGGCCTCCGGTTGGTGTCCTTGTTTTATCCCAGGTGCGAATAGGACAGAAGCATCGCTCCAGGCACCCGCCCTGGCATGGATGGGCACGGTCTTGGGTCCGCCGCAAGCCGCCGGGGCTGGGAAGGTGGAGGATTTGCCACCTCCTGCCTCGTTAGTGCAGCCCAGCTGGAGGATCTCATGGCCCTTCGGGCCTCACTTTTCAGAGGTGGCCCCTGATTTGGGGCATCTCCCTTTTTTGGAGAAACTTGGGGGTTTCTAAAACCTCCAGGTCTCCAGAATTTGGGAGCCCAGCGGAAGAGCTCTGGCCTGCGCGGCTTTTCTCCGAGGAGTCAGTCCCTATCTGGGACTTAAACCTGTGAGCTCTGGGTCTGGAAGCAGCTCCCGCGTGAGCTGAAGGAGGAGCCATGTTCAGCTGTTGCTGCTCTCCCCTTGGCAGGACTCCAGCCATTCTAGGGCCAGACCAGGCCATGCTTCCTTCCCGCCAAACTCATCCAGCGCAGCCCGCATGGCACCCGCCGACCGTGCCAGCGGGTGCAGGCGAAGCTGCGTCCCATTCAGTGCAGGGCTTAAATACTGCGGTGGTGGCAGCCAGCGTCACTCCGCTTCAGTCCGTGGGGTTATGTAGGCACGGGGGAAACGCTCGTCCCAAGAGCGCCCCGAGATCTGGCCAATCCGGATTCGGACCAGGGATGCGTGGGGTGGGCAATGTGCTGGCATTAAACCCTTTTCCCAGCGGGGATCAGCCTGGGCCACCGAGACGCCCTGGGCGAGGGTTATGCCATGAGCCAGGGGCCCCTGAGCAGATCCCTCTTTGGCCTCCCGGCCACCTTGCTGGGTGCACCCAGAGCAAAGTGAGGAAAGTGTAGCTGTCTCCTTGGCCTGCTGCCCGCTCGGGCCTAGCAGGTAGACATAGAGGTGGGGGGCCAGGGAGGGGGAGTTTGTTGTGGTTACCATCCCGGGTAGTGACAGATCTCTTGGGGAAACGCCAGCCGGAGAGACTGTCCCAGCCGGCCTGTGGGGTGGGGGTCCTGGCGCTGCACAGAGCCTGCCGTGCCTTTCCTGTCAGACGGGGTCCTGCCACAGGCCCCAGCTTCCGTTAGCAAAGGGAGCTGCTGGGCCCTAGCTGCGGACACATCGCCTGGCCCGAGGGGCCTCCGGAGCCGGGGGTGGGGGGATGTTGGTGGTGGGGGGGGGATGTTGCTGGCATAGGGGAGGGAGCCACATGCAGGATGTCAGCGCTGACGCGGGATATCGCACAGGGGACCCCAGCGAAAGCTCTGGGTCCTCATGGATGGGACGTTCTCCGTCCCTAGAGGGCAGGAGGGAGGGGCGGGGTGCATGGGAGGATGGGGGTGGGGTCACTGGGACAGCCCCTCTTTGGGGGCTAGCTGTCATCAGCCAGCCAATAATAATAAAGCCCAGCATACGTCACAGGGGACCCTACAATAACAAACCCAGGTATGCCGCGCAGCACCCCGAACAACTACCGCTAAAAACCCCCAACACCTACATGCAGCCCTGCAGTAAGAAATCCCGGTACGCAGCCCAGCACACCCGAGCAGCTCCTCTCTCATGAAAACAGCACCGGTGCGCAGCCCTACAACAACAAACCAATGACTGAAACCCACCACGCATCACGCCCCACCCCACAGTAACCAACCAGGCTGGAAAACACTGTGTCTTTATAGCTTGTCATTTAAAAACAGTCAACGCTGACAAGCGGCTGGGGCCAGGCAGCGAGAGGGGCCTGGGGGAGAGGTGTGGGGGTGGAGGTAGCAGCGGCCGTATGGGGAGCTGGAGGAGGGATGCTGATTGGAGGAGAAGACAGTTTTAAGCCAGGCACTATTGATGCCCCCCTGCCCCGCCATGGCTGCACAAGGGGCAGGTTACGCTGAACTGCTGAGGCTGCTCCGGAGAGGGGCTGATGTGCGAACCCATTTGTATCCTACGTACATTCCCGGGAGCAAGGCCAACTTTTACATAATGGATGGAAACTTTTATTCAGCCCTTTTGGAAAAGGGCTCGAGTGCAAAAGCGTTTTGGAGTCCCGGTGGGAGGGAACGAACTGGGCACAGAAACGGATCCGGGAACTCGCCCAGAAGGGGGCTGTCAGTGGGCCAGCTCGGAGTGGGGCTGGGGGCCAAAGCTGGCTGCTGCTTATGAAACTGTCTCTTTGGGCTGCAGTCGGGATTGCTGGGGAGGTGCCCCTGAGCGAGTGGCGCGGTCGTTCTGGAGAGGCAGGCCGGGCAGCTGCTGGGCACCGTGGCAGGCAGCTTGGGAAAATCCAGCAGTGACAAGCGGCACTAGGAAGATTTGCATGGAAACAAACTCACTGGCACCAAGCTTCCCGCAGGGGCCACAACAAAAGCTGGGCAGGAGGGAAAAGGACATTTCCTGCGTCCCGTCCTGGTGAATTTCCCTCCAAGCCAATGGCTGAAGGAACGAAGAGGAGGATGGCCTCAGAGTTACGGAGAGGAAGAAAGGCCCAGTGCTGGGGCACTAACCTGGCACTCACTGGTGCATCAGTTCCCAGCTTTTCCCTCCTGCTTCGTCGGCTGCTGCAGTTCCAATGGGGATACGGGCACCGAGCTGCCGTCTTGGATAAATAAAGTGTGTGAGTTGTGTGGCTACTGCAGTGATGGGGGGACAGAGACATGCCCAGCTAGACAGGCCGACACGCCCTGGCTACGTGCCATCGAGCGCTGTGGCCCTGCTTGGGAACTCAAGAGACCTAAATTCTAGTCCCATCTGTGCTGTTGTTTCAATGTATGGCCTTGGGTGTGTCCGTAATCTCATTGTGCCTCAGTTCCCGCATCTATGAAATGGGGAGAAGGATCCTGGCTTTCTCCGGCCTCTTTGTCTGTTTAGACTCTTCTTCCTGAGTCTGTCCACACCTGGCCCGAATTTAATACAGATCAGTGAGACTAGTCAGAAAGGTGAGGTGGAAATGCCTGAAGTGCCATGAAAAGCAACCAAGGTTTCTGAACTTATGAAGCGGCTGGGTGACATTTAGGCAAGAAACGTTGGTTTGGTGGAACTGGACAAATCCCTCGTCTTGGCTGGTGAATGAGGAGCCAGCCCAGCTCCGCACTAGTGTCTGTAGGCGGCTGGGAAAGCAGCTCACGCTGCCGGCTTCTCTATCCCCGTTAACGCGCGGTATTTGGGCTTGGTTTAACGGGCTGGGCCTTCACCCAGCGGGGAAGAGGGAATCGCCAGCCACAGCCCCGTGTAACGATCTGAGTCAAAGTCTCGTGTTATTCTGTCCTGCTTTGACACTGCGCGTGTGACCCCGGGGAAGGCAGCGCGCCCGGGGGGCTGGAGCAACGCTTCCAGTCTGGCCACGCCTCACCCCCAACAGGAGGTGGGAAGGTTGGTCCAGCCAGGCGCTGACGTCCGTGACCCCTGTACGTCAGGCCTTTGCTGAATCCCTGGGACTCCTCCAGCTTGGGGCTCTGCTGGGATGGCCCCGCTGGGGCACTTCCCGGGGGTGAGGTTTTCGATGGGGGCGTTCGTCGAGTGGGACCAACACGCGAATGCGGGTGTCTGTAGCAAAGGAGCTGGCCTGGGGCTTCATTTCACAGGGGTCATCACTAGCTGCCGGTGCAGAACCACAGACAGGAGCAAGCTCCACCGAACCAGGCTTGGCCCAGGCTTCCCTGACAGGGTATGCGGCCCCAGCAGCACTGCGTTGGGTGCGGCTCAGCACCGTTGGGCTCTCATGCTGCACGGCTGGGGCATTCGGGGAGAATCTGAGCAGCCGCCCTGTCCTCGCTATCCATGCGCCCGGGGGCCCTGTGCAAAGCATATTAAGTGCACCTGGGAGCCACGTGCTGAGTCAATCCTGTAACAAACTCCCTGCAGCTTTGCACCAGGGCCATCGCCCAACTTACCTGCCGCCTCCAGGCAGGGTGGGGGCAGGGATGTGCAGGGAGGGGGAGCTGGCCAGGGGCAGAGCTGTCCCCAGTCCCTGGGTATCGCTCCGCGAGGCTCCTGCCCCAGCCAGCCCGAATCACAGCTCCCCTCTCTCCCTGGCTTTCCGATTTTGCAGATAAGGAGGAGATCGACCACCCCAACAACAGCTTCAGCCCATGTAGCATCCAGGACAGGAAATGTCTCCTGAAGCAGCAGGCAAAAACCCGCGACCGGGTGAACAGCGGCGTGAAGATGAGGAGCAACGGGAACTCGCATCATCGGGAGGAGACGAGGCAGATAGTGAGATGCCCCTTCCTCTCCCCTGGCAGCCCACTCCCTTCGGCTTGGGGGCAGCTGCTGCGCGGGCCTGTGATCCACTCCCTTCACCCTTCACCCCCTGGGGCCTCTCAGTGCCCAGCAAGTGCCTGGGGTTTGGGGCTGCAGAGCGGGGACCAGTGGGCAGGTCTGTCGTGCAAGCAGCCAGCATGGGGCAGCTTTGGTTTGCCAGGGCTGCACCATCCTGTTAACCCGGGGACTAGCTTTTCACTGCTCACTGCGCCCCAGAAAAGGAAATTCGCTACTGGGGCGGGCTGTGCGCGCTCCCCCAACACCGACCCCGACCAAGGGGCAATGAGCAATGTCCCCTTGGTCCCCAGGCATTATAGGGGCTAAAGTAGGGAGTGGGGCTCTCCAAACACCCAGGGGGATTTTACTCTCATGCCGAGGGGGGGTGGGGTTTGCAGCCATCCCCTCCTCCAGGGAGGAAGCTCATTGCCACTTGGTGGGTATCTGGCCATTGATGGGAGAGGATGGCTCCAGCCTGTATAGGCGGAATGAGGGAGGGGGTCTTCTTCCTCCCCTGAGCTGGGCTCCGATCAATGCTTTCTGTGCAGGCCCAGGGGTCGTGCCAGAGCGAGCTACACCGAGCACTGGAGAGGCTGGCCGCATCCCAGACCCGCACCCACGAGGACTTGTACATCATCCCCATCCCGAACTGTGATCGCAATGGGAACTTCCACCCCAAACAGGTACGGCCTGCGCCCCCATTGCCAGCAGCATCCCCAGCCTGGGTGTCGGGGACAAGGGCAGCCGGAGAGGGGCACACACCCATTGTATAGCTAAGGCTGTGGCTGACCCACAGGCATGAGAATCTGGACTCTTGGGTTCTAGCCCAACTGGGTGACCGAGGACCAAGCTACAGCCCCTAATTTGGGGTGTTCAGCATCCGCAGCTCATTGTTTTTGGCCCCTTGGAAAGCCAGGCCCCAGAGGTCTCAAGTCGGGCCCCCAAACTTAGTGGAGATGACCACGGAAAACATAGCCTTCACCTCCACGGGTCCCGGTCTTCCCGTCTCCAAAGGGGACCCCGGTGCCCGCACCCCTGCCTCGCAGAGGGTTTGCCAGGCTATGAATTAATCATCGCCAGAGGGTGCTTTGGGATCCTCGCCCGGAAGGGGCAAAAGCTGGGCAAAGAACCACTGGGAGCACCCACATGGTGGGAGGCGTTTGACCCGCCTGGGCCAGTTCATCCATTCGCCACTAGCCCGAACGGGGCTGCAGAGAGCCACCTCCTCCGTTCAGCATCACTTCTGCCTCAGGCCCGCAGTGGCTCTGCCTAGCACGTCACCTGGCGCGGGTTCTAGTCCCTCCTTGAAACCAGTGGGACTATGGGGCCTGGGCCAGCAAGGTGCAGTCTAGTGCTGTGCTGTCTGTCGGGTTCATTGGGAGCCTGCTGAAGTCAATGGACCCTGTACTGAGCCCATCATGTCTAGAAAGTAGAGAACGGCCCTGGCTGTATTGTTGGACTCGGCTCCCCATGCTCACAGGGCAGGGCCGGACGTGCCTCTTTGCCAGGGCAGGGCCGGACGTGCCCCTCTGCCAGCCCAGGGCCGGACGTGTCTCTCTGCCAGCGCAGCACGGACTAACCAGAGCCTCCTTTCCCATCCGCAGTGTCACCCAGCCCTGGACGGGCAGCGTGGGAAGTGTTGGTGCGTGGACCGGAAAACTGGCATCAAGCTGTCGGGAAACCCGGAGCTGAAGGGTGACCTGGATTGCCACCAGTCCGTGGACGGCGTGCGAGAGTGACTTGGTGGTAAACGGGGGACAGGGAGATTTCCTTGGCGACCGGCCGGGGCCGAGCCAACCCATTGGTGCTGTTTCTGAGTGGAAAGGAAGGGGACACGACCACAAACAAACCTCGCTGGGTTCGGGGGATGCCAAGATGTGCTAATGCCCTCGCGCCCCCTGCACCTCAGAGCCGCTCTGCCCTGCACTCCCTGCCCGCGGGCCCCTTGATTCCGACACTGCAATTCTACCCTGGGCTCTGTGCATGGACAGGGGCCGCCCTGGCTGAAAGAGGGGTGGGGCTAGGCCTCCAGGCCAACATGACCACTAGCAACGGAGTAACTGTAGGGACGTCACACTCAGGGGTATGTTACCCCTCAGCCTCTCCGGCCCCTGGCCAGCCTCCCGGTGTGACCCCCCCCACCCCGCACAACTTCCCACTTTGCTCTCGCTTGCCCCAGCCAGCGGGGGCTTCGTGGATTTGTGGCTTTGCTGGCCCTGGGGCTGTCTCCGGGGCAGGCGCGGGGATGTGCTGCAGCAGCCAGAGGGAAGGAGAGGCTCTTTCTCGATCACTTTGCCAAAGTCCGATGATGGAGAGCAACAAACACAGGCCCCCAGGGTCGCCTCAGTGCTGCCGCGAAGTATCTGCCTTATATTAGATGCCGGGTCATGGCCCCGCTCAGGGTGGCTGCAGGACTGTTGGATTCGCAGCCCTACCCCCTACTGCCCCCATTTTTTCAATGTGGTTTCACCATATGGTGTGCTAGGATTTCCCTGCATTCCCATGCCTTCTCCTGTGCCTGCCAGATTAAGGCGTGGGAACTACAGGCTTGTATCTAGGGCCCCAGCACTGGGAGCCATGTCATTGCATCCGAATCTCCGCTTTCATTTGGCAGAAGAAGAAGTAAGTTGCTAACCCTCATGATGGCAGAGAAACGCGCAATGATATGACCCAAGTGCTACTTACGGATGCAGTGAGATCTTCCTGAGTCTTCAGACAGCCTGAAACAAGAGCTCGGAGAGGGGGGCCTGCTCCGCTCATTTCAATGGGGTGTTAACTCCAGGCCCTGCCACTCTGGGGGCCCTGCCAACCCCACCCAGCAGAGGACTCTGTATGGCAGGAAGAGACGCGTGCAGTGGGCCTGTTCCCCTTCGCCCCAAACAGATACACCCCAGCAGGTCAGGTAAGTACTGGGGAGGGGGGGACCTTGCTGCCACGCCTGCCTGTCTAGGGAGGAGGGGAGTGCCAGCCCTCCCCAAGAGGAATACTAATGGGCTGCCCACCAGGCAGTTCATGTGTGGGTGATTGGGGGGGTGAGCCAGGAGAGGCCCCCTTGTTGTGATGTGCCCGAGCTCCTAGATTGTGTTGATGTGGCCTGTTGACACACAAGGCAGTGTGTATCTGTGTCAGTGACATACATGTGGGTGGGAGCATGTGGGGTGGGTGACAGGAGACGTCTGAGAAGGTCTCAGGGAGGCAGGTAGCAAAGGACACAAGATCCCTCTCCAGCTTTTCCTGGCTCATCGCTCGCACTTACTGTGAGCCCCATGAGATCTGCCTCTCAGAGTCCCCGCAGTCATGCGATTCGGGGAGAACTCTGGCGGGCCTTTAACAAGCGGGACATTTCTCGCCCTGTTGGCTGCAGGGGAAAGCCTGAACGCTGACCCAGGGGCACCCGAAAGGCTGCAAACCCAGAAGACAAATAAAACGAGACCCAAACCGATCTCTTTTAGATCTCCCTTTTTTTAAGCCAGCCTCGCCGTGTTTTGAGGCCGGCCGCCTGGTTTTGGGCTGCGTGGAGCTGGCCCCCCCCACATGCAGCGAGGCCCCCGCGCTCAGCCTCACAGCGGTGCCATTACAGGCAGCCATGAGAACGTACGGGGCGGGGGGAGTCGCAGGGTTATTTCTCAGCACAGCCCAGGAACGCTGTCGCCCCCCCACAATAGGACCTTCCTTCTTATTGCAGAGCTAAGGCAAAGTTTCCCCTGCAAAGCCCTGGTTTGCGGGAGCAGCCGGACAGCGGGTGGTGGGGATTGGCCCCCCTGGAGCTCTCCCGCCCCCTCTAACGGCCAGGCGACGTGTGTTGTGTCGAGGGTTGCCAACTTTCTAGTTGCACAAAACCGGACACCCGCCCCGCCCCTTCCCTGAGGCCCCGGCCCCGTTCACTCCATTCCCCCTCCCTGGGTGGCTCGCCCTCCCCTCCCCTCCCTCACTTTCATTGGGCTGGGGCAGGAGGTTGGGGTGCAGGAGGGGGGTGCGGGCTCCGGGGGTGGGGCCAGAAATGGGGGTGGAGAGTGCGGGAGGGAGCTCTGGGCTGGGGCAGGGAGTTGGGGTGGAGGAGGGGGTGAGGGCTCCGGCTGGGGGTGCGGGTTCCAGGGTGTATCTAGGCAGGCAGAGGGTACATTTGGAGACAGGCTCTCCCTGTCCGGAGAGTCGTGTACAGGGCCTGAAATGTCTGACCTGGGCTCCCTGCCTGTGGCGATCTCTGCCAATGACCGGTCACGGGGAGCCTGTGAGCGGGCCCCACTCCCTGCTGGAGGTCTGGGGTTTCAGGGCACATCCCTGTGGAAGTCAGGGGCGGATCAGATAGATTCGGAAGCAGCTCGTTGTTTCTGGGCGGCCGGTGAGGTCCAGGCCTGGTTTGTTTTCCACTGGAAAACACAACAGGCTGCAGGAGGCAGAAGCCCAGGCAGACAAGGCCCCTGACAGCACAAATCCAAGCAAAACCTGACAGCTTGCTCACCCCCTTACCCCCTGGGCTCCAGCCGGGGACAGCAGCTTACTGGAGCGAGTGCTGGAGGAACGCGAAGGTGGCAGCTCTTAGTGGGAGCCCAGCTTCGTGGAACAGGATAGAGCCAGGGGCTTTCAGCCTATTCTGCCTTGCAGATCCCTTCCCATCTAGCCCACTTCGCTGTGGCTGCGTGGAGCTCCGTGGCTTGAGGTACAGCTGCATTCGCAGCCTTGTGGATACTCTCACAGCTTCTCCTCTTCCTCAAGGGCTGGTTGGGTCCAGCTCTCTGGGCTCTTCTGTTGGTGCCCCACATTGTGGTATCTGCAGCGGCCACCCCACCAGAAGTAAAGCCAACAGTACCAGAAATTTGTCAGTGACGTGGGTTTCCAACAAAAAACGTCCTTTTGGGCTAAATGTAAATGGTTCAGAAGTGGGTGGATTTCAGCTAAATTTCATTCCGAAGCATTCTTATCATGTCGAAATGTTCCATTTTGACAGATTCCAAACCGACTGCTTCGACTTTTTGATTTTTACTTTCAAAATGACTTTTCCAAAGGAAATTCCGGGGGATTATATTTAAAAATGAGCTGGAATGGGCGAAAGCAGAACAAACTCTTTCGAATTTATCAAAGCGAATCATTTTGATCAACCCAGAATTAAATTTTTTCGGAATTTTGTTACATGGGACGTTTAATTTTTGCTTTGGTTGGGTTTGGCTCTATTACAGAACAGCAAAAATGCCAGAGTCACGGAATTTCCCATGAAATGGAAAATCCAGGCCTGGCCTCGCTCTGAATAACAGTGAGATTTTTCCTCCTCACTTGCAAGCGAGAAGTGGTCTAGGTTTTTTAAAAGTGAGGATCATCTGTAGGAAAGTGCAAGTTCTGCTGTGAATGGGGAGCTATTACAGGGTTGGGGGGCAGAGAGGGCGCTGGGGTTAGCTGTGAGCGTAATGAGGTGCGGTATCTTATCTCCTGTGGCAGTGAGTTCCGTAGTCTAAGCACCAGCTCAGGTCCTGGCTTAGAGCTTCCTGCTCTTCGCTGGAAGTGTCATTGTTCCCATGGAATACAGCTACCGGAGAGGTTCAGGGTTGAGGGGTGGGGGTGGGGGGGGATCTCTCAGGTAGCCAGGACCAATCCCACGGAGAGCTTGGATTATCAGGCAAGGACCTTGAACTGGGCTCTGTATTTCAGTTTGTTGTTTGGCTTTCCCCCTGTTTGTGTAACAATGACATGCAGAGTAAACAGCGCACATACACAACCCCTCCCCCATTGCACCACCCCACTGCACACACCCTTCAGGTGGTGGGTTTTGAATTTGGTCAGCTTCCAGGGTGGGGCAAAGAAACATTTAAAAGAGCTCTACGGAGGTAGAACAAGCCAAACCCCAGGGCCTGACCCACCCCCACCTCCCTCATTGTGAAGTCATTGACAGGCGTGTGAAATGTTCCCCAAAGTGGGTGCGTTTCACACTCATTTTGCACGGGTTATAGATGAGGTGCAGTGTGTGTCTGTGGTTGTGGTGGGGGGTGATCAGACCCAGAGTTTATTATTCTGTTTCTTTGTCAGCTCTCACCTTTCCACTCACCCACCGTCACATAATGATTAGCTCAGCCTGGGGGGGTTTCCCAGCCTAGCCCTGGAGAAAGAGGCCGTCCGTTGCACCCCAGAAAGGAGAGGGCAGCCGGGGAGTTAAGCAGGGCTCCTCAGGTGGCCAGAAGAGGAATGTGTGTGAAGGTGTGTGTTTGTGAATGGAGCTGGGCTGGCTGAGTGTGTGTTATTGTGTATGTGGGGGGCGGGTCATTAAGTAAACATGCCCCCCCCTTCCAGAGCAGAATGAATCTCTCCCTTCAGCCAGCCTATGGCTTTTCCCCACCACCCCCTTCAGGCTGCACCAGATTCCAAACACAAACCTTCATCCCCAGGTTCCACCTCGCGCCGGAAATCAGGGGCGAGTTCAGGCCAGGAGTCAACTCTCGCTTATTTCACTTGTTGGCTGTGGTCAGAACAGTGATGTAGGAAGGGCCCTGCCTTCGGCAGCGTTTCTGAGGTCAGGCTGCTGCCCTTCCTGGCACCATTAGGCTTTTACTCCTGCAGCATGGCAGGTGGCTCGGGGAAAGCATCTGTTGTGCCTGGTTCATTGGCCTCTGAGCCCTGACTGCTGGTGGCCACAGAAGAGGCCGAACTTGTAGAACCTGCAGGAGTTTGTGTTGCCGGCAGCCTTGAATTCTAAACTGAGCCACTTTGCTTGGGTAGCCCTCGAGTGGGGAGCAGCAGGGGCCCGCACGTCCCTTCATCCAACCCCTTGCTCAAGGCTCACTCAAGCAAACCCTGGGTGAAAAGCGAGGCCCTGGCCCTGGAAAATTCTGATCAGCAGCACACAATGGACTATGGGGTGTAGCCGATCCCCGGGGCCAGCCACCATGGGGTGACCTGGTCTTGCTAGCACACCATGAAACCAGCACTGAAATGAGGACAGACTCAGGCTGCCTTTGTGTTCAGCACCTTGGCTGCTTCCAGGAGGGACGGGGAGGGTGGAGGGTGTATTTTCCAGGAGGTTCCTGTAACTCAGCCCTTATCCTATCTGCCCATAACAGTCAGCCCTCTCTTCCCATCACATTCCAGAGTTTCCCGTCGGCTCAGCTTGGATTCCCTGGGCCCCAGACACAAAGGGGTCTGTGCTGCTGAGATCACAAGGGTCGGGAGCTACCTTCCCCGCTGCATTATTGCTAGCCACATTCCAGGGGTGAAATTCAGCCCCGGGCAGAGGGCCAGCACCAGGCCTCTGCACCACGCAGGTCTCCAGTGGGACGTACGTGCTGCTTAGAGCTTGGGCGGGCCTTCTGCGCTGCGGGGGAAGGCCACCCTCTGGGTGTCACAGGACCACTCGATTGCACAAGGGCTAAATCTCTCACTTTTCCACTTCCGGCATGTGGGGAGATTCTGCTGGGTTTCACCTGCCATCCTTTCCTTCCCCCTCTTTCCTGGTGATCCTCCGAGTGCCCGGCTGGGCTGCAGGCCGGTCAGGAATCTTTTATGGGACAGCACACTCAGCAGCGCAGCGGGTGACTCCTCCGTGGACTGAGCTGATACACTCAGCATCATAGCAGGTGTCTTCTGCCTGGACACACCTGGTGCAGTTAGCTTCATAGCAGGTGCATCATTGCTAGACGTGCTTAGTACGCTCAGTAGCACAGCCGGGATGGACTAGCCATGCCTGGCCTCATGTATTCCCTCTGGACACACCCAGGACACTTTCCAGACCCAGATTAAGAAAAGACTTTCCTAGTTGGTTTCCTGAGGAGAGGGTGAGCACCTTATAAAAAGCAACAGACTTTCCCATTTAATGGCAGCCTGGCCTAAAAACTGGTCTCTTTGGAAAAAAGGCATCTTGTGAGGGCATTACATTTTTTGTTCATTAGAAAGCACCCTGGCATAAAGGACTTGACCGTTGTATCGCATCTCTCTTTAGTTTCATGCTGTATTTACACATGCTCATTTATGAGGCTAAGGCCAGCTAATCTCGTCGGTTTCTGCACCCATGTGCTTTTTTATCGTTTGCTCTTCTGACGGATCCGTCGGTGCCTCGCTCGGAGAACCCTCTCTGTGTAGAGGCTATTGCTTCTTTACCCAGTAAACTTGAAGCTTTAGATTGTCAGAAAGACAACCAGTAATTGCTCTATTTAATTGTCACGGTTATTTAATGTGTTTCTCTTAAATGTACTTTATCTTTACATCGCTGCAAAAAGCAAAAAGCAAATGACAAACAAACCCCACACAACTAATCCTGCGGGTGCTGGGGTGTCAGCTGGGGCCTCTAAGCTGTGATTTTCTATGATATGATTTGTACGTTATATGAAATCCTATATGCTTTCTCAACCAGCCGAATTAAAACAAAAACCACACGTGACTTCACCTCTTCTCTGCCATGTTGTGTTGAAATGTCAGCAAGGGGATTTATCCCCCGCAAAGGGGGAAACCATCTCAGAGTGTCTCCCCCTTCTCTCTAGGCCCTGAGCTGGCTCTCAGGAGCACGCTGGGATTTTAGCATCACTACATGCCTGTGGGGGAGTGACGAGTTAGGCCCTGGTTGCGGATGGGGAACAGGGGCTCGGATCACATAAGGAATCTGGGGCAGAGCTGGGACTGAACACAGGTCTCCTGAGGCCCAGCTGGCCTCCCCACAAAGGGGATCTGGCAGCTTGTTGTCAGAAGGAATCAAACCCACACAGGCAATGTCCAAGGGGGTTTCTAGTCCATCCTCTCAATTTTGGGGCTATCGCTGCCACTGCCTGGGGGTGAATGGGCCATATGAGGCCTGAGCCAGGACCTTAGAATCCAGACCTGATCGGCCTTAGGGGCTACGCAGACCCAGGAGTTCAGGTCAGAGCCACCCCAGCCATCGGCAAGTGTTATGGCAGCTCCGTACTCTCGGGGAATGGCTCTTGCTTGGTGCACGAAAGGTCCAGTGCCCAAACGCTGGCTAAGGCCCCCCCCGCAGAGGAGAAATCTTTGACTCCGATCA